ATAAATATACACATAGATACAAACATCGAATATACTAACATTCCCCTACAGTTGGAACAAGAGGTAAAGACCGAACATTCAAACTACAAAATCTGAACTCTTGAAACAACGATGTAGGAAGCTATTTTGTGAAAATGCATGCATATTGGGACAATGATTGTAACATAAAGCGCTCAATTATGGCTCAATGTGACTTTATCGCAAATAGAATATATGTCGATATCTATGTATTTCATTTGTTGATGTTGAACTAGATTAGTTGAGAGGTAAACAATGTTGGTGTTATCACAATATACAAGTGTTGACGTGATATGGGAGAAATGGAGCTCGTGTAAAAGATTTTGAATCGAAGCAGTCTCATCAATTGCATTTGTAATGTCATGATACTCTCCTTAGCACTAGATTGATATATAACACCTTTCGTTTTGAAGACCATGAAAGTAAGTTGTTAACGAGAAACACATAGTAACCTAATGTGGAATGATGTATAGTTGTACATCGCCTAGTCAGCATCAGAGTGAGCAATGAGGCCTTGAGTCGGGGATGCATGAAGTTGAAGACTGTGATAGGTAGTGCCCTAAACATATCCTTGGATGCACTTTAATACGCCAAGGTGAGATTCCCGAGGGTCGTACATATACATGCACACTAGTTGAACTGCGAATGCAATGTCCGGACAAGTGAGGTAAGATACCGAAGGCACCTACTAAATTGCAATAGAGGGAGACATAAGGGATAGGTGGGCCAAAAGCATCAAGCATAGTAGTAGTGTCAACTGGTTTCCAACAAGGTTAGCATGCTGTCATGTTGGAGCGAGCAAGAATCTCTGTCACAACTAGCATTTTTGCTAGGAAATTCTACTCTCATGCAATCATTCACCTAGTGGAATAACTTAAGTGAATACTATACTCTATTCTCATTCAAATATATCTCATATGTTCAAATAAGGGTTGGAAACCCTAGAAATCCTGACTCAAGTTCATTATGGACTAGGATTCCCTTATTGGGTTTAATGGACCAATAAATCTCCAACTTCATCATCTTGGGCCTAGGAACCCTAAATGAGTTCTAATTGGACCCACTTCCATAAAACTTAGCATTTTGGGCCATTTTGGGTCTAAAATAAATTAGTTTACCCTTAATGGGTCTTATTGGGCCGTAACAACTCCAATTAACCTTAATGGACCACAAAACCCATTCTTTATACTATTTGGGCCGTGAACTACCCTAAAGGCCCAATGGGCTGAAAATGTTCTTTATGGGCTTCATAATTTTGAACCAAAGAAAGAATTAGGCCAAGCTAATTCACCCTCCTTCCTCCTAGCCCAAATCTCGGCCCATGTTTAATAAAAAAAAAGTAAAATAAGGGGATTAACTAGCATTAGACACATCATTATTGTATAATGGACTTCCATGCAATTTACCCACTAAATAATTCATACATCTCATGTATCCAAGTATCCATCCCATCTTTACCTTCCTCTCCCCTCTCTCCTTCTATTTAACGGCCAAGAGCATGAAACACACACACACAAATGATATATTCTCAAACACTCTCAAATCTCACAAGAAAAACCTCCTTACACTTCAAAAATTTCGTGACTTGGTGAGTGTTTTCAAGAGTTTTTCATCAAGATCTTCACACTCTTGAACCACCTAAGTCGAAATATTCTTCTTCCAAGGAAAGCTCTCAAGAACTTGTCCTCCTTCCTCTAAATTCTCGAGTTTTGGTGTAGTTTCAAGAGGATCTTCACCTAGATCATCATCTTTGGTAAGTTTTTGCTTAGATCTATGATTTAACTCTTTGATCTCCTCAAAGATCTCCTCTTACATCCATATATTTGTAGATCATGTTCTTAGAACCATCTAAGTTCAAGATCTACTCAAGAAAGCATGCTAGGATCAAAAATCTTCTTCCACTTCTTCAACAAAACCGATCCATCACCCCAAGGTGAGTTCATACCCCTTGTTTTCGGTTTTCATATGATTTTGGGGGAGAATACAAGTTTCTTTGTGTAGATCTATGTGTATATGCATAACTGTGTGTTTTCCATGAATTATTTGTTGATTATGTGTTGATTTCTTCATTAATCTAAAAATATGTTAAGA